GACCAGGCGTCCCGCCGCTCCAGTCCTCCGGGGCGAGAAAATCCCCGTTCGTAACTGCGGATCCGACATAAGTCGGATCCGCGTAACTCGGGGACTGCCTGTATTTCAAAATAACTGTTATTTCGAAATAACTAACTACACACAGGCAGTTATTTCGACATAACATCAAAATAATGTCCATCCGGAGGACTTCTTACTCCACCTCCGGTAATCCTCATTTTACAAGGATTAAGGGAAGAGTGCTCTATTTTGAAATAAGTGCTGTCTAGACGTGCCCAAATTTGAAATAAGCTATTTTGATTTAAGCTACGCAATTAGCGTAGGTCAAGTTGCATAGCTTATTTCAAGTTTCTGTGTAGACATACCCATAGATAGCATATAGTTACATAATATTCATTAGTACGGAATAATTAAACATTAACATTGCTGTTACATTACGTCACCTTTTCTTTCCCTTCATATTTGCTTTCAAGGCTTTAACATTTTTTTTTTCAAACTTAGTTTCAAGCCAAAAGTTGGAAACATCTCATCCTTAAGATATGTAAAGGATCCTACAATCCACTTCCATCTCAGTACTCCTATGAACTTCATTATTTAATAAAACAGATGTTTAAGAGAAATCCGAAGAACCGTCCATCGGCCAGTACTATTCTTGAAAGAGGCTGCTTAGCAAAACTAATCAAAAATTGTTTGCCAGCAGAGGTATAGTGTACTTTTATTTTGTCTCCAATTAACAACATTTAAAAGTAGTGCCTACATTTTAGAGGCTAACTCAAATAGATATATTGCCATCTCTTTATGTTACTGAAAAAATTACTATTAGGGGACTATGTTAAAAAGTTAGTCACCATTCTTTGTTGATACAGGTTTACAGATCAGAACTATTACTGTAGGGGAGTTGCTGTTCCTATGCTGAACTAGAAGATTTATCCAGGGTTGCCCGGGTCCTTCTGGGAAGGGGACTGGGAATGTGGGGGGTGTAAGACTCAGATCAGGGCCTTGGGCATGTGTGGGGTGGTGGTGCAGGAAGCTGGGGGCAAGGGTGTGTAAGAGTGAGGGTTGTGGAGTAAGGAGGGGCTCAGGGTAGGGAGGCCCCATCTCTCCTCCCAACTCTCTCCTGGCTGCCAAGGGTGTATTCTCTTCCCCCTCAACTCTTCCGGCTGCCAGAGGCATTTTCTCTCTCCCCCAGACTCCCTCTCCCCCAGATGCTGGGGACATTTTCTGTCCCCTAGCTCCACTGGCCATTGGGGGCATTTTCTCTCTCTCTGCCCGCCCCCAGCCACTGAGGTGTTTTTTCTCTCCTCTGGCACAGTGGCCAAGGGCCAGGAGCAAAGGTTTTGGGGAAAGGGGGGGCTACTTACTTGGTGTCCTGGCAGGCAAGATGGTGGAGCCCTAGCCCTGCTGGCCACTCTTTTGGCGGTATGATTGCCTCCAGTGGACTCCCTCCAGGATAGCTCTCCTCTGTGGGCTCACTGCCCCTGTGGCCACTCTCATATCCTGTCCCTCTGAACAGCAGCCCCTCTCTTTGCATATTATGGAAAATAGTCCTTTTCCTGGGGCTTCTGGTTATCTTGGCACAACCAAACCCTGACCTTGTTTTAAGTTTGAGATGAGGAAGCTGAATACCAAATTTGGTGGCCTTAGCTCTTACCGTTTAGGAGAACTTCTTGAACGAACGGAGTCACAGACAGACACACAGACCAAAAGACGCACTCTGAAATATATCAGAGGGGTAGCCGTGTTAGTCTTAATCTGCAAAAGCGGTGAGGAGTCCTGTGGCACCTTATAGACTAACCAAAGTATATCAAAAAAGAGCTTTCCAACCTGGAGTCTCTCATAAAAAAACAACCTTCCCCACAAATGGACTTTACTAAAATAAGACAGGAGATCTACATCACACACTTCACTTCTCTACAGAGGAAAAAGGATTGTAAGCTGTCTAAAATACTACCTGCCACATGGGGCCACAACAGTGGTACCCCTAACTCACCCAGCAATATCATCAGTCTTTCAAACTACACACTCAGCCCAGAAGAAGAGTCTGTTCTATCTCGGGGACTCTCTTTTTGCCCCACCATCCCCACTAACATGATACAGTTCTGCGGTGATCTGGAAGCCTACTTTCGCCGTCTCCGTCTCAAGGAATACTTCCAACACAACACTGAACGGTGCACTGACACACAGATACCTTCCCACCAACGGCACAAGAAGAAGAACTCCACATGGACTCCTCCTGAGGGTCGAAATGACAGTCTGGACCTCTACATAGAATGCTTCCGCCGATGTGCACAGGCAGAAATTGTGGAAAAACAGCATCGCTTGCCTTGTAACCTCAGTCATGCAGAATGCAATGCCATCCACAGCCTCCGGAACAACTCTGACATTATAATCAAGGAGGCTGACAAAGGAGGTGCTGTTGTCATCATGAACAGGCCTGACTACCTAAAGGAGGCTGCCAGACAACTCTCCAATACCAAATTCTACAGGCCTCTTTCCTCAGATCCCACTAAGGAACACACTAAGAAACTGCACCCTCTGCTCAGGACACTCCCTACACAAGCACAGGAACAAATCGACACACCCTTAGAGCCCCGACCATGGTTGTTCTATCTATTGCCCAAGAACCACAAACCTGGAAATCCCAGACGCCCCATCATCTCGGGCATTGGCACTCTCTCTGAAGGACTGTCTGAATATGTGGACTCTCTACTCAGACCCTACGCCACCAGCACGCCCAGTTACCTCTGTGACACTACTGATTTCCTGAGAAAACTACAATGCATTGGTGATCTTCCAGAAAACACCATCCTAGCCACCATGGATGTAGAGGCTCTCTACACATGCAGATGGAATACAAGCTGTCAGGAACAGTATCCCTGATGATGCCACAGCACAACTGGTGGCTGAACTCTGCGAATTTATCCTCACACATAACTACTTCAGATTTGGTGACGATATATACCTCCAGACCAGTGGCATTGCTATGGGCACCTGCATGGCCCCACAATACGCCAACATTTTTATGGCTGACCTGGAACAACGCTTTCTCAGCTCTCGTCCACTTACGCCACTTCTCTACCTACGCTACATCGATGACATCTTCATCATCTGAACCCATGGGAAGGAGACTCTGGAAGAATTTCACCACTATTTCAACAGCTTCCACCCCACCATCAGCCTCAGCATGGACCAGTCTACACGGGAGGTCCATTTCCTGAATACCACGGTGCAAATAAGTGACAACACATAAACACCAACCTATACCGAAAGCCTACCGACCGCTGTGCTTACCTGCATGCCTCCGGCTTCCATCCCGGACACACCACACGATCCATTGTTTACAGCCAAGCACTGAGGTACAACCGCATATGCTCCAACCTTTCAGACAGAGACCTACACCTACAAGATCTTCAACGAGCATTCTATAATTTACTTCGTTTAGTCTATAAGGTGCCACAGGCCTCCTTGCCACTTTTACTCTGAAATATAGAGATTGTGGTAATGTGTTCTGGACAAAGATTTTGTATAGTCCTAAAGAGTTTACAATCTGGGAAAGTAACAAAAGATGAAGATTCTGAACGCACGAAGGCCAAGATACTGAAAGTGTTTAGGCCCATAACTCCAATTGAAATCAAGCAGCTAGGCGCCAAAATGCTTTTGAGGATCTCTGCCAAAGTGACCAGGTGATGGAACCAATTCAAAACTGCAGAACACTGAACATGCACAGTCTTCTGAGAAAAGTGGAGTTTTGATGAGAAAATGTTAACATAAAAAAACACCACTTGATTTATGATTTAATCAAGAGTGGATAGTTTTTGTTAACTAGAAGGTGCTTTTTGTTCCTGGTGATTAGTTTATATTTTAACACAAAAATTGTTATTTAATTAAAAAAAATAATAAAATATGCACACTACATTGAATCTTTGGGTGCAATTTCCAGGTTACAGCTGAGTTGAAACAAAGATCAGAGGTAACCAAGAAACACAAATGTGATTTGGGAAGAATAAAAGGTAATTTTAACACAGTAATTTTATAAAGATTTAAAATGTATCAAAAGTAAGTTTGAAATGTAGGATCTTAGAATCTGACATTACAGAACATATATCTCTTTTGTGTTTTAAATAAAGTTGAGATTATTTGTGTTTTCAAATAAAGTGGCATCTGGAACATGCTAGGGAGCTGTATAACTCACCTTTGCAGAGTTTAGTAGGTATTTTGACTTTGTAAACTACAATTTTATTCTTTATCATAAGAAACAAATTTATATGACCTCTTTTAGCACAAGAAGGAAATGTTTATGTGCCACATGTTCTGTTTGTAAGCAGTTCCCTGCTTTTGTGTGATAAATTTAAGGAAAATAGCATCAATGTCTGGTCTGAGGTTCCAGTCCTTCCGCTCATGCATAACTTCAAACATGTGATTTGTCCCACTGGCTTCCTAACTTCCTAGATTGCATCCTACATAAATAGTAGGGTTCAAACTTGTTTTGAATGTACATGTGGTTGTGTTATGTGTTCCTTCCTTCCTTTTAGAAGTATAGCGGAAAATTAAACTGCTGTGCATACATTTTAAATGCTGTCCTTAGAAGCAAATATGTGTTAAAAATATGTTAAAGAAGTTTGAAAATCAAGAAATTTTAAGGGGCAACATAATTTTACCTTAAAGGCGAGCAGTGTTTGTCTTTAGGCAGGCTGATGGCCAAGCAGGTTAGTTTGTTGGCCTTTCACTTCCAAAGAGGTTGTCTCAAATCCTTTGTGATTTTTTTCCCCTGTGGATATTTACCCACTGCTTAAAACCCTTATATAATCACAGATAATCAGCAGTTCCTTTTTTTCTTCAGGGGAATTGAATAGTTTAAGTGTCTCAAGTTGGGACTGAGGTATATTGTCAAAGCCATGAAGAAGCTGTAGAGAATTTTTCTTCAACGTGTTTGGCTTAGTGATGTTAATTTCTTAACATCATGAGAACCACTTTACTCTAACTGCTTATTTCAAATATTGATTTAATTTTTGACCATGTCCATTAATTTAGCAGATGCTGTCAGTACAGGTGGGCATTCTGATAACGGAGTAAGTCTTCAGATATGATTACAAATATAATTCCTATTTTTACAATAACATATATAGCAAATTGTTATTGCAGACTAGTTACTGTATTCGTTAATAATCCATAGGCTGGTAGATCAGTGATGGGATGAATTGTGACTGTGTTTATATCAACATGTTATCCACAAATGTATTATAGTGGGTACTGCCCACATCTGGTAGAGTTAAATGTACAACATTTTTTGATATAATCTCAGCTTCATATCCCGGAGTCTTTTTGAAATTTTAGCGCAGGAGTTTGTTTTTTCCATGTTTAGTCCTTGCCTGGAGGTGGATTATGTTTTAGTCTCAGTGAAAATCTCTTCAGTTGTTTTGAGTTATGGGGGAGTGGATAAAATGCACTTGTCCATTTGCATTAAAAATAAAAGCATTGAACAAGCCACAGCAGAAGCAGTTTGGCTTGGATATAGTCCTCACTGAGAACTAGTGCCCATGGTTGGTTTGGGGAGAGGGTAAATGCCTGAAAGATCACTTCTGAGGAAATTTTAGCAGAGCCTAGACCATCTCCAGTGATCACATCTTTCAAAATACAAGAGAGATATGTTGCCAATAGGGCTCATCTACTTTCCCTGTCTGAGTTTCATAATCGAGACGTCAATCTAGGAACTTCCTGCTTGGGTGCACCTTGTTGTTCCCCAGGTCAGTGACTGCACCTATTCATTCTCCATTAGATCACTTCAGATTAAAAAAATTAAAAGATTTATAGCCTTGTGTAATTCAATTTGTGCTTGGTGTCAGAAATCCAGACTCTGTCAAAAAGGGCATACAGCATGGAATAGGGTGTGGGAAGTGCAGTGCATTGCAGGTTTGGTGTCAGTGGTATTAACTTTACTATTATTAACTAGTAGTATTTTTGTTCAAAATGTAGCAAAAAAAAAAGACTTGCATGGATTATTATTTAATTGCTTTAACCATATAATGATTAATGCTGTCCTTATACTTTTTAAAGCAACGTGAAGATCAAAGTAGTACAGGTGGTAATTCAGAATTGGAGAACGTTACCAAGCATTTGAGTGAGAGGACACTAAATGAAAGGGTCACTGGTGAAGAGGGTAAAGTATATTGAATTCTGTATTGAGTTCTCTTCTTTATAGTGATGCTGAGCTGTTGTACACATAGTCAAATCTTTAACTTAAATATATGGTGTATATAATAATCTATGTAATTATAGAAAAAGGTGCCAGTACATATTAGGGATGTAAGCGACTAGTCGACTACCCGATAAGCCTAGGCTTACAGGTAGTTGAGTCACTGCTTGATTAGTCGCGTCCCCCCCCCCTTCTTTCTGCCTCTGTATCCGAGGCACCAAGGGAGGGAGCAGGAGCCAGTGCTAGAGGCAGGGAGCCGGCTTAAAAGCCTTTCCCCCCAGCACCATCTTCGTGGGGGGCAGGGGATGCAGAGGCGCAGCGCAGAAAACAGTGCAATCAGGGATTACTTCGGTCCCCTCTTGTGCGGGTTACCGATTGTGCCTCTTCCTTTGAAATTACAAGAGCTGCTGGTGGCTCTTGTACATTTCAAAGGGAGAGGCACAGCACTTGGGTCCTCGCTCATGCATATTCCCTGCTGCACCTCTTCCCTTGTACATTTCAGAGGGAGAGATGCAGCAGTCAGAACCTCATGCAAGCGGGGACTGCTTCAGTCCCACTCGCTGAGGTTTCCTGCTGTGCTTCTTCCTTTGAAATGTACAAGTGCTGTGTGCGGCTCTTTTACATTTCAAAGGGAGAGGCACAGGAATTGGGACCCCATGCAAGTGGGGACTACTTTGGTCCCCCTTGCACGGGTTACCCGCTTCTCCTCTGCCTTTGAAATGTACAAGAGCTGAAGGCAACGCTTGTACATTTTAAAGGCAGAAGCACAGCGGGATAGTGAGTGCCCCCCTTGTTGACTAATCGAGTAGTCAATGGAAATTCCTAGTGGACTACTCGATTAGCTGATTAGTCAACATTCCTAGTACATGTGCATGCAAACTTTTTGAGATACAGTGATTCTTATTCTGTATTTCAGTTAGAAAAGCATTCTATATTTCATGTTAAAAAAGCATGTTGAAAAAAATTGATGTAATAAAAATAAACACATGGAATCAAATTGGAGTTAATGGAATTGAATGTAAGTCCAAATTTTGATCCCAAGTATCCAATCTCAGTGTTGCTGGAGTACTTTATTGCTCATTATAGTATTTTGTTTGAGCAGTTTTATCAGAAAACTGTGAAGCCCCCCTAAAGAAAGCTAGTTTGCCAAGTTCACACAGAAAACGTTGGGAAAAAGGAGTGTCCAATACAGTGGCAAATTTCCTGGAAAATCCATCACTGCTTTGTTCCAGATTTACATCTGAAGAGGATAAAAGTAAGATCACACTAAATGTATTTATAGCTGACTTGTATTTGTTTTTGAAACAAGAAATGTGCAAGCTTATAAAATGATTTTTTAGAAAATAACATTATGCAAGGGATATTTAATAATGACAATAACCATCATACTAATCAGGGTGTGAAGTAGTGAACAGTGCGGAAGAGAATACGTATGCGATTTTTACGGTGTGATTTTAAAACTCTGAGATACATGCCAGCAGTGTTGGCAACAAAATTGTCATCTCTATTTAATCAAGAGATTAAGAACATAAGAATGGCCGTACTGGGTCAGACCGAAGGTCCATTTAGCCCAGTATCCTGTCTTCCAACAGTGGCCAATGCCTTTACCACAGTTATGTCCCTATTATGTGAGGCTAAATCACATTAACATGCTGTACATTGAGCTAACTTTGAAGGCTACTTATAAGAGTCAGCTGATGTAGAAGATTCAGTTGCTCATCTTTTGAGTAGGGCAGGCTTCTGGAAGCTTAGCACATTTTTGCTTCAGATTCTGCTCTGTTTTCAACTAAGGATGTCAATGTTTAGTTGACTACACGATTAACCGATAAGACTTCTTGTTATGTCGTGGGAAGCTGGCTTCAAGCAGGCTCCCCACGAGCACTGGATCCACCTGCCCACTCCGCTCCTGTGCTACTCCCTTTGATAGAGGCAGCGAGGTGGGGGCAGGCAGAAAATGGTACTGGGGGGGTGCTGTTATAAAAGATGGTTCCCCCCAGCACCTGCTCTGCGGTGCCACCGCCTTCCTCCTGCCCATGCTGCTGCCTCAATCAGAGGCAGCAGTCCGGAGGGGTTGGGTGAGGCTTCCACGAAGCAGCCTCTGTCTATGGTGGACCCAAGCTCAGACCCCCAGTGGACAGGGGCTGCTGCCGTAGACCAGCCTTTGTCCATGGGAAGCTCGGACCACCACAGGCGGGCTGCTGCCACCCCACCAGTTTGCACAGAGAGCTGCTTTTTAAACTGGCTCACCGGCAGACCAGCTCCCGCCTGGCACCCCATGCTGCTGTCTCTGATACAGAGGTAGGTTGGCAGGGGGCTCCCGAGGAAAGGGGCTGGGAGTGTACTGGCTGCTGGCCCCGCCCCCAGGGGCTATTGAATAGTCGTCTTACCACTAAGATTTCATGTGGTTTCACAACTATTCAACTACATGATATCTAACATCCCTATTTTCAACTAACATGTAGGTAATTCAAGTGCTGGTTACTGCTGTCAAAATCTTATATGGCCTTGGCTCTAATAATCTCAGAGACTTCTGTGCCCTGCTATGATAACAGGAAAACTTCAGTATGGGTCTTTTTCTGAAAAATGTACAGATTTTACCTTGTACAGTGTACCAACACACTGGAGTGTCACTTGCTTATATTGCTATAATTATTATTATGGGATAAAGATACAACTTAAATAAATATGAAAACTATCATTTAGTATTTGGTTACAAAATCAAAATATTAATGGTTAGAAAATTCCCAAAGTTGGTAGAGCAGTTGGTAAACCAGGCCATGGATTCTTGTTTGGATTCATGCATTTCCCTTGATTTCTGCTATACAAGTGAGGTTTTTCTTCTACAGAACTGGCCCTGGGCTCCACCCTGTGGGTATGTCTATACATCAAAGCTGTTTCGGGATACCAGAGGTATTTTGGCATCCCAGTAACCCTTTTTCCATGAGGGTTAAGGGATGTCTCGAAATAGCATTTTATTTCTAAATAAACTCGAAATAAGCTATGCAATTTGAGGGGGTGCTGTTATAAAAGCAAATTGCGTATCTTATTTCAAGTTTACAGTGCAGTGTAGACATAGCCTGTGAGATTTATAGAGGCACATGGTATCCATGCAAAAGTGCTGTGCCTCTACATTAGGTCCTGACTTCCTGACAGAATCCAGAATCTCTTGCTGCTTTCAAGTACCTTCTTTCTCCTCTACTGCTGACACAATCGGCATCAGTTCACCAACTAAAGGACTATGGGTTGAGGAGCTGGGCATAATGCTACAAGCTGAGACTTCCGGACCACACCTCTCTGTTATTTCTCTATTGGCTATCTCAATAATTTATTTTATTAATGATGTTTTCTGTAGCTAGTATGTTTAAGTATATTAATGATTTGCTAATGATATTTTTGCTAGGTGGCTGTGTTATAAAATACAGTGAAGATAAGCCACGTAAGCAGTGGATTAAAGAAACTCCTCACACCTTGATGAATATTCTCAAGAATGCCGATATTAGCTTGGCATTTAAAACATACACTATCTATAAACCAGGTAAATCCTGTGCCTGCAGGCAAATTGACATTTTGGAAATCGGATCCATAATGTTCAATATTCTTCATTATATAACATTATTTATATGTTTGACTTTCAAGACCACAGCAGATTTACATTTATATTTTATTAAACATTTAGACTTATTAAAAAAACAAATGTGAGAAATGTTGCCACACAGCTGCAAGTATGTATGTGATCTCTTTCACCTACTGCTTGTGGTGGCCATATTCTTGGCAGCCTTCTGCAAGGCAGGATGCTAAAAGAGTAAAATATAAAATAATTTCTTCTAGCTAATTTGCTGCTGTTTTAGTACAAATTGTGGCGCTTTGGAAAGTCATGGTCCCAGGCTGTGTCTAGATTACAAGCACTGCAGTGCTGCACCCACGCTGCATCCAGAACCTTGAGAGATGGTAGCTAGGTTGACAGAAAAATTCTTCCATTGACCTAGTTGCATCTACAGTGGCAGTTCAGCTGACTTAACTACGTTGCACGGGGTGTGAAATTTTTCACAGCCCTCAGTAATGTAGATAGCTAGGTTGATCTAATTTTTAGGTGTCGACCAGGTGCCAGATTCTGATTCTACATTGCATTCTCTTGCAGACTGCTTTATAAACTTGTTTAACTACTCATTTAACAGTGTGTGAACAGCCTGTACTGATCCTGTGAGCTTTGGAAAATGTCTTTCTTTGTGTCTAGTTTCTGATTTGACGTCGTACTTTCTTTCTTGTGCGTTGTTGGGCTAAGAAAAAGTTACATGTACGATTTGAGTTGGGGAAAAACCTGCCTTACACTGATAGACTTAAGAAGCCCAATTTATTTACCTTACCCAAGAGAATGTTAAGCGGTCTAAGGGCATATCTACATAATCTGCTGGATTGATGGGCAGAGATCAGTCCAGCGGGGTTGATAGTAGATGCAATAAATTGACCGCAGAATACTTTCCTGTCAACTCCAGTACTCAACCAGAACGAGAAGCTTTGGCTGAAGTCACCACAGTCAGTAGATTTAAGTACATCAACTTTGGCTACTCTATTGACTTAGCTAAAGTTGCATAACTTTGATTGATGGCCCACAGTAGTGTAGACCAGGGCTAGGAGTATTGTATGAGGGGAAAATTTCTGATATCAGAGAGTTCTTTAGCTTTGCAGATAAAGGGATAATAAAATCCAGAGGCTGGACGCTGAAGATAGAAATTAAGATGAAATAACATTAACAGTGAGAGTAATTAATCATTGGAATAGCCTAGGGATTTGGTAGATTTTCCATCATTTGAACTCTTTAAATAGAGATTGGATAATTTTCTAAACTACTGTGTGTGTTAGAGCTTTACCAGAATGAGTGTAATACATGGTATATGGATGAAATTTTTGGCCTCTCCTTATGTGGTGTGTCAGACTAGATGATCATAAGAGTTTCCTCTCTCTTTAAAATCTATTAATATGCGGATGTTGGTTGATTTTTCATATGGTAGTGGTGAGAAGTTATTAATTTGAGAGATCTAAATTCAGACAAGCTAATTTGAGAAATAAAAGAGTTCTTGGATCATGGAACCTGATGTTGGGAATGTATATTCTCTCTCGTGGGATAGATGTAACTCTACAAATATATGAGGTGCAATTCACTCAGTACAAAGAGGTTCTTTGAACGCTAATGGTGGAACACCTGCAATAAGATCAATATTACTAATAGCTGTCTTCACTGCGGTTAACTCAAGATCCCCACATTCACGTTAACTCTTCTGAGTTAAGCTAGCTCAAGTCAGACCAACCATGCTGCAAAACAAGATTTAGCTGCACAGAATGATTGGTTTATTGCACACAGTGATTGTATTAAGCAATACAGAACAATTGTGTTAGCAGCTGAAAAACTGTGCTAATTTGAGCTATGGCCAACAGGCTAGCCAGCTCAAATTCTAATCTACATTCAAGGGATTCTGCATGGTTGGAATATGAGTTAAAGGTAACACATGCCTTATGATTTATAGATCTTAGTTTGGCTTGGAGAAGTTAACCCAGGGGGTTGTAAAATGTATGTATTAAAAATATTAAAAACTTGGGGGGCTGGTGGGTTATTAGGACATGTGAATTTTGTTGACTTTGATATTGGTTTTGAAACACATACAGCTTTCTATTTTTTTCACACTGAATTATTGTGGGTTTTTCCCTCTGTTTCAAAGCCTCAGAAGACTTATTGAGAGGTCCACTTTCTGAGGAAGCCAGCGTATCTGATGAAATAGATGGTGAAGGTGAAGCCATTATCACAGATTCTGAGAGGCTTGAACCAAGATCGGATGAAGAAGACACGTATGTTCCAATACACCTTGAAAATTATATTCAGCTCTCATGGTTGTCTAGATTTGTAAGAGCAGTAGTTCAAAAGTTACTTTTTCTGATGAAAATCTGGCATGTTTTATCATTTTTCAGCATATAAATTCATATCTCTTTCTATCTAACCACATTTATTGCTATTAGAGTATAAAATTTGAAGTACTTTCACTGCCATATTTCACATATTTGCGAGCCAAATGGGAATAAACTGCTACTCTGTAAGACTCTCCTTCCTTATCACTCAGCCTGATGAGAAACTACCTGTCCTCGAGCTGCCTGCCATGCTATCTCTGGTACATGTTCAGCCATTTCAGATGTGAAGTGGTGAGGTGTGCAGGCAATAGCACACTTGGAGCTTCAGGAATGTGGCTGCAGTGTGGTTTAGGATGCCACATATTTACTGATTGCTGGTCTGCAGGAGAACTTTTCTGACTCTATATTGCTGACCCCAATGTTATTGAATGGCCCTTTAGAGTTTGTGATACCGATGTAAGCTGTTCTGGACTTGCAGTATTTTTTGGTTTTGACTTTTATATTTCTGTTTTCTCTGACTTATTTTATATTTTGAACCTTTTTTGCTCTCTATTGTACGTCTTGTGCATTCTCTCAACAAATACCATATTTATACGTACTGGCAATGTCAAAATTAAACAAATTACAGATTTCCTTACAGTTTTTCACTGTTTACATAAGAATGGCCATAGTAGGTCAGACCTATGAGCCATCTGACCGAGTATCCTCTTTTCTAGCAGTAGTCTGTGCTAGATTCTTTATGGATTACAGTGCTGTTCCTGTCACTTTCTATGTGCCTAAAAGTTAAATGGCATGATGCTCAGAATTGCAATTCCTAAGTCCCTTTTTGTGGATCTAGGCCCGTGTCTTTGCTGATATCTGTAATTTGAATAAATTAGAAAAAATATTATTCCATTCCCTAATCACAAAGGTGTAAGTAATATATCTTTTGTAATTAGGTTGTTCTGACTGTAATTCAATGTGATATGTGTGATAATTGTGGAAGAAGGGAAAATATTAATCAAGATTTTTATTACTATTATTTTAGCTTTGAGAATTTATATTTTTAATCTATTTTTAGGGACTTTGAAGAGGAAGATGATCCAGATTGGGTGTCTGAATTGAAGATGATGGCCAAAATACAGTAGACTGTTCTGTAGCAATAATATGTACAATATGTAAATTACAGTTGTTAAATGGATCTAAACCAATTTTTCAAGTTAGTTATGAATGTGTAAGTTTCATACACAGTAAATGGAGAAAAAATATGCATAATAAAAATTAAAACCCAAATGACATGAACAAATCTGAGTATTGAATATATACTTGAACCAGGTGTTAGTTTTGTAGAAATGCCCAGGAGAGTAACACTGTTTAAACTGATCACAGTGGGGCATGTGCAAGGAATGGTAGCACTAAAAGAACAGTATGCAAGGTGTTTCTTTTTGATTAAAAAGATATGTGTTTTATAATAGAAACAGCTGATGTTAACTGACAATAGTTTTCTGGATTATAACAACTTTTAATAAAGGCCTATGGCTCTCTCCAACCAGTTTGTAATCCTGTGAAAATGCCCTGGACTTGATTTTTTTTGTTTGTTCATTTTAACAACAGATTTTTACAGAAACCATGAATATGGTGCTGAGTAGTATTTCCTATAGGCTGTATGCTTGTGCAGTTGCTCAGGGGAGATTAAAATGCCACCCAGCTGAGTAGCAGAGCACCCACAGCTAGGTGTTTTGTTTCTACTGGTGTTGGGGTGCAGTGGGGATGCTGGGTGATGAGGTACATTGGGGGATTGACAGGGGTGCAGTGAGGACAGGGCAATGTGGTCCACTGGGTAATGAGGTCAGATATGGTGACAGGGTACAATCGGTGATGGTGCAGTGAGGACACTGGGTGATTGGGTGCATTCGGTGATTGATGGGGAGAGCGAGGCGGACAGGGTAGTGAGGTACAGTGGGTGAAAGGATGCTGAGTGATGGGGGTGCAGTGAGAACAGTGGGTGATGGGGTGCTTTGGGTGATTGATATGGAGAGAGAGGAGGACAGGGTAGTGGGGTACAGGGGTGAAAGGGTGCAGAGGAGTGATGGGGGTGCAGTGAGGACACTGGGTGCTGGGGATGCAGTGGATGAAGAGGTGCTGGGGGTGAAGTGAGGGGAACATGCTGGGGCAGATGCCAACAGAGCTCGGGGCGCTGTATGATCCAGGCTCCGCCCCTCTCGGGGAGTCCGGCCCCCTCCCAGCTCGCCCAGCCCTGCCCTCTCGCCGCTGCGGGCGCGGGACCGGACCGGCTCCGGCGCAACAGGTACCGCGAACCCGGCCTCGACTTGCCGGGCCGGGCGGCGCCGGGTGCTGACCGAGGGGCTGCGCCGGGGCAGCGGCGCTGGCGCGTCCCGGCTCCATGGCAACGGGGCGGGGCGGGGTAACCCCGGGTCCCCAGAGCAGAGGCGGGGAGGCACCGGGAGCAGAGCCCCCGCCGCAACAGGCTGCACCGCGGGGGGGGTAATTAGCGCTCGACCCGCGGCCGAAGCGGCTGCCCCAGCCCCGCCTCCTGCCCGCGGCCCGAGTCTGGTTCCCCCAGGGCCCTGCCCGCGCAGCCCTGGCTGCTACACGAGTGCGTGACCCGCCCCGTGCGGTCCAGTGGGGGCTGCTAACCCACGTGCCGGTGAATAACAAGCTTTTTGTGTTAATGCTTGTAACTGTCTCATTGATCCGGCAAGCTTAATGGGACACGACCTCTCTTGCCTGAGATTAATACCCGGGTCATCAGTGCCAGCACGTCTGGAGAGGACTTCTAACACCAGCGGGGCCAGAAGGGGGTTGTAATTGGTTTTATTTTCCTGAAGGCGGTAGGGGCTTAGGGTCCTTGTGGTTTAATTCAATAGGCTGCTCTCCAACCCGCTTGCTACCTGCTGGTGACAGCAGTTGTGGTTGTGATTGTGAGTGAACTCTTCTGTCATGACTTCCCCAATGTGTGAAATTCTTTGGGATATTTTCAGAACACTGATTACCTGCGAACCCCTCGTATTTGAGACTTTTTTGTATTTTAGAAACTCCTTTAAAACAAAGACATCATGGATAAATACAAAATCATTGAAATGATTGGGGAAGGAGCCTTTGGCAAAGTATTCCTAGCAAAAGGAAAGGTAGATAACCATCCATCTGTTATCAAAGAGATCAATTTAACAAAGGTAAAACAACAAAAGCAAGCTTATATAATACTGATGCTTATATTTAATTGGTTATAATGCTGTGTGTTCCTACAGTGTAAATTTAGGACTTTTTAATTTGCTTTACATTAATATCTTGACTATATAAAGGTAAAATTTCTAAAAACAGTGTTCAGTCCGTCTATTAATTTAGTGATTTACTGCTTCAACTACCCCAGACTAACACGGCTACATTTCTATCACTATTCTATTAATTTAGTGATTTATAAGCATGCTTATGTGTACAAAACTAACATAACAAAAACATGTTCATTATATTTCCAGTTAGTTCACACTTGCTTATGTGTTGAGTAGGATAGCAAGTATAGAAATTATGGGTATATTCTTGCCAAACTTTTACCACAAGGTATAATGACTAATAATTGTGAGTATTACTATTTTCTTCGTCAAAATTTGTATACATTTCATCTACTTGTTAAGTTTCACTTTCTCACAAGATAACTATGAATTTAACTTTATTACTACAATATGTTTTAGTCTTTGAGCCACTTTAATTCATTTCTAAACTGAATTGTACTTCATAAATATGGCAGTAAAATATGATAGAACACATAATTAAAATAAAGCTATTGCTTTCAAAATAACTGAACAAATTACATTTTGTGGTGTTTTACTCTCTGCTTCTTCACTATTGGTTCACTTATTTTCAAAATTAAGTAATTCACAATGGGAGTAAGCAGTTTTCTTAAGGCATGTCTAGACTGCCTGCAGCTTTTGAAAGAAGATATGCAAATTCGGCATGAATTTGCATATCTTCTTCCAATCCCATTTTCAGAAGTTTTTTCGGAAAAAAAAAAGCAGTCTAGACGTTGGTTTTTTTTAAACCCTTTTTCAAAAGAACCCCATACACCTCATTTTTTTAGAAAGAAAGGTTCTTTTGAAAAAAGGTGTTTTTTTCCTGAAAGAACCACATTGAGTGCTTTTTTTTTTTTTAAACTCTTCCAAAAATGGGATTGGAAGAAGATATGCAAATTCATGCCGAATTTGCATATCTTCTTTCAAAAGCTGCAGGCAGTCTAGACATGCCCTTAGTCATTAATGTGAATTAGTGTGTGTGTATGATGTATTAAGCAGTTCAACAGAAGAATACATTCCTGTAGTCCAGGTCTGAAAATCTTTATACAATTTTCATACTCAAAATCAAAGACTTTACAACCTAAAAATGACCTGAATACAAAAATTGTACAAATTCTTTCTCAACTGCATTCACCAACAATGCAGTAATCAACATTTCCAGATACACAAGACTTCGCATTTTGCCTATAAAAAGTTTTAAGATATTTAAATGATTTAATAAGTTGCCATCCAAAAGTGCTCAAAAATTGTGAGTCATGTTATTTTTTAACAAGACTTTAAAAAATCCAATAGATTTTGTGTTCTTTTTATTTGCCTTTTGGTTTATCACCCTCCAGTTCCATGCATAAGTTACATTTTAAACTTATTTTCACTTTTAAATGAGCTTTTCAAGAAATCACGAGGCTTTGTCTACACTGCAAGTTTTTGTGGCAGAAAATATGCTAATGAGAGACTCATTAGCTTGAGTCGTGATGTCATTAGCATATTTTCTGCTGATTCTTTTTGCGCAAGTGGTATTTGCGCAAAAAGAAACAATGTAGCCGCTTCCGTTTTGTGCAACCCTCCCACGCACAAAAACTCCAGGAGAGGCATAAGGATCTTGCACAAAAGATTTGTTTTCCACAAAACGGAAGCAGCTACATTGCTTCTTTTTGTGCAGAAATGCCTTGTGCAAAAAGAATCAGCGGAAAATATGCTAATGACATAGCGACTCATGCTAATGAATTCCTCATTGGCATATTTTCTGCTGCAAAAAATTTGTAGTGTAGACAAAGCCTTAAGATCAGGATTTGGTGCTTTTAGAAAAACATCATGGCTGTGTCTAGACTGGCCAGTTTTTCCGCAAAATCAGCTGCTTTTGTGGAAAAACTTGCCAGCTGTCTACACTGGCTGCTTGAATTTCCGCAAGAACACTGACGATCTCATGTAAGATTGTCAGTGTTCTTGCAGAAATATTATGCTGCTCCCGTTTGGGCAAAAGCCCTCTTGTGCAAATCATTTGCGCAAAAGGGCCAGTGTAGACAGCTGAGATTTGTTTTGCGCAAAAAAGCCCCGATTGCGAAAATGGCGATCGGGGCTTTTTTGCGCAAAAGCGCATCTAGATTGGCCACTGATGCTTTTCCGCAAAAAGTGCTTTTGCGGAAAGGCGTCCGTGCCAATCTAGATGCTCTTTTCCGAAAATGCTTTTAACGGAAAACTTTTCCGTTAAAAGCATTTCCGGAAAATCATGCCAGTCTAGATGTAGCCCATTGGTGAAATGTTATCCCAACTGAAGCCAATGGGAGTTTCACCCAAAATATTGGAAAAGTGGGTAAAACTTAAGGGAATATTTTTTAATATTTTTTCCTTTATATTTTTTTCATATGAACTTACTCATACCAAGAACATAAGTCACATGGGTCCTGCTGCTGCAAACACATAAGCTAAGCCCAACTTTACTCATGTGAGAAGTCCCTCTAATTAATTGGGACTATTTACAAGTAAATTTATGCACTTGCTTAAATGTTTTCAGGATTAGAGCCTAATAATGTCAGAAAAAGTGTCAATATATTTTCAAATTTCATAACTTGTATTTTTCACTGCATCATCTTTTTTAAATGGCAAATAAAACCCTTTAAATAACTTTTGCAACATATAGTAGATCCACTATCACTTATTTAATATGATCTCCTAGGGCTGTTTTGATATGAGATTTACATACGAAAAAAAGTTTTATTGGGAAATTGTCATTTTACTGGTTTTTTAAACTCCCTTTAGATGCCTATGAAAGAAAAAGAAGCATCTCAGAAAGAAGTGATTCTTCTGGCTAAGATGAAGCACCCAAATATAGTAACATTCTACAATTCTTTTCAAGGTTTTATTTTATTTTATTTGTGATTTTAATGTTTAAAGTTAAGTCTTTATGAAACTCTTAATGATTTGTCTCTGTCTAGCTCCCCAAAATTTATGAGAGATTAAAATACTTATCTAGGAACCTGAAAAAATGTAGCGTAAGTATTTTGTACACATACATGACTTCTGGAATTGGACCAAGTTATTACGTTTTACTTCTGTAGCACTTGAAGTATGTGTGGTGTTTTATTGACAAAAAAGAAATAGGCATACAGCCTTACTGAACTATTTATAGCCAGCACTAATGGTTGGAAAAGGATGTACTATACAGCTTTTTTCCCCATCCCTACTTTTGTTTTCTGTGTGTGTGCATGTTTTTCTTTTTAATGTTTTAAGCCTTGTCTGTCTCTTTCTTATAGCTATGGGGTACTGCACATTGATAGGGCATCTCCTTACGGCTATTTAGAGAAATAGCTCCTTCTTGTAGCATGGCTTCTTTCTCTGCAACACAGGGTATTCCTTTTTGACTTAATCCTCTGGCCAGGTCACTATAGTCCCATCCAAGGCATCAAAATCCCGTTGGATGATTGTCCCAGGCGGCAGTGTGTGACTATGTTGCCTGGTATATGCCACTTCCTCATTGTCTTGTAGGCAAGCCTGCTGACAGGGGGGCAAAGGGGGCAATTGCCTCGGGGCCTGGCAATTCAAAAGCCCCTCCCCCCCCAGCCCTTTAAATTGTCACTGAAGTGCCAGGCAGTATGCTCTCAGCAGTTCTGAGGGCTTCTTGGGGAGAGAGGGTCCCATGATGCAGTGCACGTCAGGTGGCGCTGAGGACTGGCTGCCCTTTTTGCCTGAGATCCCACCCCTTCCAGGAGCATGGAGCCAGGTCCCCATCTACCTTGCCCGAGGGCCTGGCAATCCTGTCTCTCACAAGCGCACGCACCCACACACATGCACGCGCGCTTGTAGGTGACCCTTTGCTCTGGGTTCCAGCCTAGGGCCTCTCTAATCAGCAGCCACGCTCTGCTGCTAGAGTAGAAACTCAGTTACAAATGGACCAGTCAACCATACCCCTCAGTTGGAACTGGAAGAACACAATCAGGCAGCAGTAGAGACCAAACAACAAAAAATCCAAACCTCTCCGCCCCACAGTACTGTGTTAAAGTAAACTACTAAAAAAAGAGGAAGTATAAAAAAAGATTTGACAAGGCAAGAAAGCCAGGCTTGATTCATTTAAATTAAGATGGTTAAAAGCGGCATTTTCGTCTGTACAGCAGAGGTGAAAGTAAGCCAGTATGCCCTGGTGTGCAGTTTTGGCAAGATGGAGTTAGCCAGCTGGGATGCTCAGCTGCAGGAGGAGTCATGGCGTGCTCCCAGCCAGGCTCTCTGGGCTCTCCTGCAGGCTGCTGCACTAAGCAGCAGAAAGCTAGAAAGGTTAAAGGGGCTGGCTGGAGGTGTGCCCCCTTTCTCACACATCAGCCTGGGACTGCTCCAGCCCCAAGACTCCCTGCCCCCGTTAAGGACCATTTAGGAAGGCTGGGGGCACTGAAGCCACCTTCCCCCTAGAGATTTGTACCAGGAGGATGCTGATTGCTGTTTCCCTTCCTATCAGGGAGCGAGAGGAAAGCACACAGAACACTTCCATTCCTTTCACTCCCAGCTGGCGAGGGTAGGAGGCAGAGGAGTGAGTGACCCAGGCTGTTTGCTTTCCTCTTACTCTTTGACAGTGACTAAAAGGAACAGCACTCAGCGTCCTGGTACGAATCTTAGGGTGGCGAAGCCCCCTACATCCTCCCTAAATAGTGCCTTTTGACCCCCTGCACTTCTCCCTACACACACATACCCCAGTCTCCTGCCACGAACCCCTCCTCACACAGCCTAACCTGCACTCTGCGTCACTCCTGCACTTCTTCACACACACCCCAGCCTGCTGTCTTGAGCTCCCACACCTCCAAACCTCTGCCCTGACTCCTGCATGGTGCCACACTCCCACCTCCTTCTGGGGGGGTGAATACAACAGTTCTCATAAGAAATTTAAGTTACTTTCACCTCTGCTGTATAATAGAGTTTCAAAGCAGTACTAAGTCAATGTTCAGTTGTGAATTTTGCAAAGAACAACCATAACATTTTGTTCAGAGTTTCAAACATTTCAAAATTATGAACAAACTGCATTCCTGAGCTGTTTGTAACACTATGGTTCTACTCCAGGTGCATCTATGATTTGGTTCATGGTTGGATCCAGCCTGCCATGCTCCAGTGGGATTCTTGGGCAGGCTCCCTGGCTGCTGTAGCCACACATGCTGCTCAAAGTAGCTAGCTGCTGGGACCAGCGTGCGAGTCTCTGTGCAGGGTGTCTTTAAGGGGAAGAGGAGCAGTGGGTCTCCCCATGCTGCATGTACCCATGAGCACTGCCCCTGCAGCTACTATTGGCCAGTTTCCAGCCAATGGGAGACAGTGAGGATGTGCTAGGGGTGAGGGTAGGGCACAGAGACATCTCCCCAAGGGGTGCGCACTGTACAGAGAAATGCTGGCCCCAGAAAGTGGCCACTTTGAGCCATGTGTGTGGCCACAGCCGCCAGGGAGACTGCCTGAGGGTCCTGCTGGGATGCTGTCTGAGAGCCACCTGTGATAAGCATCTTACAGTCCGAGCCTGCACCTGGCACTCCTCCCACACCCCAACACCCTGTCCCAGGTCACATCTCCTCCAGTACCCTTGTGCCAGGTCACAATCCTGCACTCCCCACCAGCACCTCAATTTCTTACCTAGAGCTTCCTCTTGTATCCAAACTCCATCCCAGACCCCATATCTCCTCCATTAATATTACCAAATTCTTGGAATGGCCCCCCTTTGAAAATTATTGCCCACCCCGTTCTACTCTATTTCCCTGACCTTTTTCCTACACTCTGTCCCCATTTACTTCCTTCCCTCTATATTATCCAGAGAAGTGTCAGAGGGGTAGCTGTGTTAGTCTGAATCTGCAAGAACAATGAAAAATCTGCTACAGGTCGGGCCGGGCGGGGACGAAGGCTGCGCATGCAACTCTCGCTTGGCGCCCAGCTGCGGCTGCCCAAGGACACAGATTGGGGTTCCACGATCACGCGCTGCTGTTTCCACGGGGCTCTGCCTCAGGCTCCGCGCAGGCCAGACAGGGCTGGCTCGATGCTCGGCTTTGTCGGGTTCGTTTTCCCTGGCTGCTCAATGCAGCCCATCCTGCCCCAGCTCTGTGGAGTGAGTGACCCTTTCCTCGGGGCCTTTTCTATGGGGCTCGGCACTGGGGTGTCCGTGTGCTTCCCCAGCCCTGATGAGATGCAAGGGACCGGCTCTGTCTTACAGGCCTGGAGAGTGAACGGATTAAAGCATCTCACACTAATTTGGTGAGGCTCAGTAGGGACACTTAGGACCTCGCTTAGCACCAGGCAGGGTATTAATTATGGTCAAAGCCCCTTAGCCCCATTGGGAGCAGGAGTGCTCAGCACATCTTCCAAGCTGCAGAGTCCCACCCTGGACAGCCAGGAAATGAGGACACCCTACTAGCCACTTCCTGAGACCAGTACAGGAACTGGGTGGCGGGTCGGGGGGAACTTTAAAAACAGACTTCAGAGAGAAACTGCAGAGCTACAATGCATCTGCAAATGTGACACTATCAATTTAGGATTAAACAAAGACTGTGAATGGCTAGCCAACTACAAAAGCAGTTTCTCCTCTCTTGGTGTTCACACCTCCACATCAGCTGCTAGAAGTGGGCCTCATCCTCTCTGACTGAATTGACATTGTTATTTCTAACCTTACTCTTGATTGGAACTCTGTTCTTATGCCTGTGTATTTATACCTGCCTCTGGAATTTCCACTACATGCATCTGATGAAGTGGGTCTTTACCCACAAAAGCTTATACTCCAATATATCTGGTGGGTATGTCTACACTACCCCCCTAGTTCGAACTAGGAGGGGGTAATGTAGTCATATGGAGTTGCAAATGAAGCCCGGGATTTGAATTTCCCGGGCTTCATTTGCATAAAGCCGGCCGGCGCCATTTTTAAATGCCGGCTAGGTTGGACCCCGTGCCGCGCGGCTACACGCGGCACGGACTAGCTAGTTCGGATTAGGCTTGCAACCGTTTAATTCTGTGATTGTATAAATTGGTTAAATAAGTATTGGCCACAATTATTGGTAGCAATAAATTCACTTTGTCATAATGAGGGATGAGTAGGAATGAGCAGTTGAAAATATGGGGATCATCCTGATCATGGAATGAGCTGTAAAGCTTTACTTTTGCAAATCTCTCTTTTTTTATGTCTCTTTTGCTATAATCAGTTTCTACCCATTGATCACCCAAAGACTCCATTTTACTGGAAATCTTTGGTAACTAGAGGTAGAGTAACATAAGCTTAACCCCTCTCTGTCCCAAAAATTCCCCCAACAGAACAGCTGTAACTAAAATAATTAATTGTCCTATTCACTAATATCAATGAAGTAGTTAGAAAAAAGCCTATGTTTTCTTGCAGAAAAGAATATGCTATATATCATGATGGAATATTGTGATGGAGGTGATCTAATGAGACGGATCAATATGCAACATGGAGTGCTCTTTGATGAGGACCAGGTAAAGGGATTATTTTTAGAGGAAACAATTTATATCCTAATATGCATGCTGAGGACTATCAATTATGTGAGGCAATTTCTTATCTTTATTGTTCTAATCACAAGAGACATGCAGCTAAGCCCTTATGACTTCTGTGAGAATTACTGATTTTTCAGTTAAGACCTAGAGAAAAGATCTCTCCTTAGAAATGACATATGAGATGGAAGGTGAGGAGTAATGTAGGTCAGGGCAGTGTCTTGTAGGCACTACAATGTTACTAGATGGGATCAAACCTCCCACTAATTTCAGTAGGAACAGGATTTCACCCATGATCAGAAATAGGATTCAGAATTGTTAAACTAGCCTTCTGAACCTATTTCAGTATACATTAGTTCAGAAATGTGTCTATATATTTAGTCGATGGAATCACAGCTGTTTCTCACCTTCTCTTTACTCCTCTCATTCTGATTCATGCTACTTTTTGCCCTCCCTTCAACTAGCTGAACCATACTTTTCTATTATGCATTGTATGTCACGGTTAGTTTTTTGGACATTGATTTGCATTTTGCGGGTGCTGTCAAGAATTTAGATACCTAGTGACCTAAGTTGCTAGCGAAAATAACTGATTGTAAAACTGCACATACCCATTAAAAAACCCAGTTAAGGCTGGCCTTAAAATGTGACTCTCTGTCTACTCTCAATTTAACATTTATATAGAAAAAGAAATCTCTTCACTTTTCTTTTTTCCATGTAAGTGGTAGAGAAAGGAGTTGGTAGAGAATCATTTGGGAGTTAATTGAGGGTTTAGGATTATCTGGCTCATTTAGTTATCGGAAGCAGAGGAAACACAAGGGAGAGAATGAAGTTTATGTAAGAGCACAAAATCACAAATCAGAAAAATAAAAAATAGGAAACCAACAATAACAAGAACACTGTTGAGGGAAAATACACAGCCAAACTAACAGAAAATGTGTCGTCAGAAGACAAACAAAGAACAGACCAAAAAAAGTAGACAAAACCAAAAAAATCCCCAAACTAAAGAAGCACAGCTACCCAGTTATGTTTAGTTCCCATAATACCTTACATATTTTCAAATCTATGTATGTATTTATTCCTAATTAAAGGCCCCAATTCAATAAATCACAACTTAGCACAGCTAAGCAGGTGCTTAAGTGCTTCCTGATTAAGAATGATTTACTGAATGAAATCATGAAGTCAATGGGCTGTACATATGTATTGTAAAGTTATGCATGTATTTAAGTGCTTTTCTGAATAAGGATAGACTTAAGTATACATTTAACAGCTTCCAAAAAGTTTTGATCCAGAAAAGTACTTAAGTTCATACTTAATATGAATCGCATGGTTAAGTGTTTTTCTGATCAAGACCAAAGTCAGGATGTAACAACTGTGGCCTAAGATAGGAATAGTGTGAGAAGTTACTATGCAAGCTTCCTTATACAGCTCTGCCATTTACCCACATTTCTAAGCAGCAATCTGTACTTTTCTGTTCCCGAGCCTTTCTTGACAAGGAACCATAAATGTCATCAAAATTGTATGGTGGTTTAATGGTTTCCATCACCGAGGTTTATATGAGACCACATAATTCCTCTTCCAGTTTGATCTGAACTGAGATTTTAATTCAGGCCTTCCTAATTAAAAGGCTACCTTGGGCTTGATTCCACATTCCTTACTCAGGCAGTACTCCCACTGCAGTCACTGGAATATTTGTTGGAATAAGGACTGTTGGATGATGTATTTATCTGCATATAATTTTCTGATAATATTTAAAATTGAAAAATGGATTAAATGAATCTAATCACTCAGATTGGTATTAACAGCTCTGTTTATTTTTCTCTCTTTTTTGTGTATGTGCAATCTGTATTTTAGTTTTGTTTTGTGTTTTTCAGTAAGACATTGGCTTGTGCAGAATTACAGAGTTTTGACCCTTTTGTCTTTCATTATAGATTCTGTCTTGGTTTGTGCAAATTTCCTTAGGACTGAAGCATATTCATGACAGGAAAGTTTTACACAGAGACATAAAAGCACAGGTAGTAAACTTTGGAGTTACCAGTCTTAATTTTACCTAATCACAGTAATGCATATACAGGAAATTCTTCTATGTTTCATCAAGGCATACCAGTTTCTTCTTTATTTACAGAATATTTTGCTTAGCAATAATGGAATGATAGCAAAGCTTGGGGACTTTGGCATTGCAAGAATGTTGAACAAGTAAGCATTATTTTTATACTATCTGTATCCTGTATCTAATGCCAGCTCCAGAAAATGTCACTGGTCCTGAAGATTAGGTGCAGATTGAAAGTGTATGTTGTGTCTAAGGAAGAAATCCAGGGGACTCGGGGTCTGATGCTGCCCTGTGGAAATCAATGAAAATTTTTGAGACAGACTTCATTGGGAGCAGAAAGATGCCCTAGGACTGCACAGAATGTATCCATAATGATATATATTTCATTTTCGTTGATGTACAAGATGTATGGCAGAAGGATGATCCAGTGCCTAAAACACTAACTTACATTCAGGAGACCAGGGTTCAAGCCACTGTTCCACCATAAACTCCTTTTGTGACTGGGCATATTGCTTAGCATCTCTCTGCCTCAGTCTTCAGCTGTAAAATGAGGCTAATAGCACTTCCCTATCCCGCAGAGGTGGGGTGAGGATATCTACATTGTGAGGTGTTGAGATTCTGTGGTAATAGGAGCCACATAAATACCTAAAATAGATGGCAGGTGCACTCCATGCGTTGTATCAGTGCATACTTTTTTCTAGAATATTTTAATAATAGTCTTCATGGAATACAAAATTACAAGAATACTTACTAGTTCAATAACAACATTCATTCAACAAGTTAACAGTAAAACCACAAATGGCTTAAGCATCACAACCTTCCAGATACTTAGAACCATTTTCATCTCCATTTTACAAATGGGGAATCAGAACCACAGTGAAGGTAGGTGCTAAACTTTCAGTAGGAGTTGTGGGTGCTCAACATTTCTGAAAATGAGGCTGTTGGTGCCTTAGATTTGACAATCAAACCCCAAAATTAGTGGCATCTCTTGAAGACATATGGTGATTTGGCCATGGTTACACAGCAGATCAGTGGCAAAGCAGAAAATAGGACTCGCAAATCCGCTGGAGAGCACGTCTTCCTTTCAGTCCTGGTTTGTGTGGGATACTCACATCATTTTATGGTTTAATGGATATATTGCAAAACCACCTAATTCATCATGGAATTGTGCACAGTTAAATGCTTTTAAAATACTGTATTAGCAATAAGCATTTATCTCAGAATGGTGATTGCAACGCTGGTGTGGGCTGAGGAGAGAGAATTCCTGAGCTTTATATTGGAACACAGGCATTATCTGCTATAGAATCACACAACCATTTTAACAGAGAGCTGGAGAGTGTTTTAATTTTCTCCCAACAGTGTCTAAATTAATGTACTAAGCTAGTATGAATATACTTTTGTGTAGAAATGATAGTTTGTGTGGGTTTTTTTCCTGGTTACATGCAAGTCCTTTTCCCCATTTCTAGAATTTACTCTTTATCCCTTATGTTTGTTTTGTTCTCTTTTATTAGTACAATGGAGCTTGCTCGTACCTGTGTAGGGACACCCTATTATCTATCACCAGAAATCTGTGAGAACCGACCATATAACAATAAAACGTAAGTCTCTAAATATATCTTTCCTAGGGTGGTTTCCCCAATCCTATGATGACGCATGAGTGCTTGAAGAAAGGAAGTATTTGCTTTGATAAACTCTTGACTTAACATTACAATTGCATTTTTATTTTCATAAAATGTTTGCAGCTACTTACATTTTAATTTTCTTACTAAGTTGTAATACTCATACTTGTAATACCTGCAGGTTGAAAACAAATAATTTCATTGGTTTCTTTGGAAATCAGTGGTTTCGTCTCATTGTGTGTCTAATATGCAGTAACTGTCATAGACCTGGCTCTTTGTAGTTCTCAGTGTGCAAAACGTTGATAGATTGAGTATTGATCATTAAAAAATATATTCAAAGAGCTGTGCTGGATTGAGAGTTCTGGACAGTGAAAGCCTTGGTTTTCAGTAACCCTTATTGCAGGAGTGGGCAATAATTGGTGATGGGAGACCACTCAAAGAACCACACTGTTCTATGGAGGGTGGCTTGGGGTCTGAGATGAAGGCACAGAAGGGAACTCAGGGTAGGGGACTGGGGTGTAGCAGAGGGTGTGGGAGTAGGGGCGTGGGAGAAGATGGTGCCAGACGCAGATTTCCGATCAATGGGAGCTGCAATAATTGTGCAACATTGAGCAGCTTGGGGCTGTGGCAGGCAGGAAGCCTGCCTGAGGGTCCTGGAGGGCTGCGGGCCAGATCCAGAGCCTTGGTGGGCCAGATGTGTCCCATGGGCCATATTTTGCCTGCTCAAGTGTTATAGAGTTTTCTGAAGAAGAGGTAGATAGAGGCTCACTGAAAGCCACCAAAACATTGGATGCTGAGGGTTGAAGAATCATGGGTTAGGGGAAGCTGTGTACCCCCTTTTCTATGTGGGAAGCTCGACTCCAGATTAGAAGAGCCTTGATGCCAACATATACCTCCATTCTGAAGCTCTCGGGGGGGCTCCTCAGACTGCTCATCTTCCTTGCCGTCTCCTGGGCTGTCAGTCAGTCAGAGATAGCCTATCCCTTCCCTGTGCAGGAACATCCCTTCTGCTGGCATCATACCCTGGTGACATGCCTCCCATCTATGACAATAAAAGGGGAAAGTCAAAAGTATTCAGTTACTGCAGTGATGAATGTGATCTAGAAAAATATATAGAGTAACGGGCTCCACCTCTGGGGGTAGAGTTATGTGGCCAAACATCAGCTCTGCAATCATCTCTGTGTAGATTTCCATTCCCAGATTCACCTCGTGCTCTAAACCTGCCTAGGTCATTCAACTCGGAGTCTGTATCCAGGGAAGGAATCTGTCGGGGCATCTCTACTACAGCTACAAGTATCCACTGAAAATGAAGGGGCAGTTGTTTATATTTATACTGTCAGGCAGACAGACATGATAGGCAAAAAGAACCATTGCAGTGAGTGCTGATCATCTTCACTGCATCTCCAAAATGATATTCTTCAAAAACTATTTTACACTGCTGCAAGTGCAAACACCAGCCCATCAGTTCTAATATTGGTCAGCACATTGGGGATAATCAAGTATTAGGATGATTGTAATTGCTATGTATATGACACACTCTGTGTGCATGCATGGTATATAAATGAAATTTTAAAAAACAACAACAAAAAGGAGGGAGGGCAGAAACCAGAAAATATAATTCTAGGTTAGTTTTGGCCCAAAACCAAACATCTCTACAAATTACAATAATGTTAACTTTTGGTGACATTTCATTGAGTAGTTTGAGGTGAGGGGATTGTACAAAATGTTAAGGCACATTCTCCTGACATTTGAATGGCTTCCACCCACAGAGATATTTGGTCTCTTGGCTGTGTTCTGTATGAGCTGTGCACCTTAAAGCATCCAGTAAGTATATTCACAATCTAATATCTGTGGCAAGGGCCCTTCTTTCTCTTGCTGATCTCTGTACTCTTTCTCCTTGGCAAGATGGGCCTTTGGTAAAGCACCCTCTATCTGCTGCGTCTGGGCAGTCAGCCTCATCCTCAGCAGAGGGTTAGGCTTGTGATTTTCCCCTGGGATAGGGTGCCCAGCCTCTCCTGAAGCTGCTCACTCCCCTCCTGTATCTGGCTTAGTAGCTGCCTGCCGCGTGCATGCGTGTCTGTTTTTCTTTCTTTCTTCCCTTCATCCAACAGGGGAGGCCTTGAAAAAGCCTCAGGCAGGCCTGAAGCTAACCCTAGTTGGTCCGGGGTAGCCCTGTCTCAGCTGATCCTACTGTGCCTGAGACAACCCCTTGTCTGATGATCCTGACAGACCTGTAGTAACCCTCTTCTGTTTAACAGGAGAGCGGGCCTTTTACCCATCTAGGGCTGCCTTTTCCAACTTGATTGCAGCTCTCTGGCCTAACTTTGTCACATATCATATTATTAAAAAAAACTGAACAGGCCAAAAAAATGTGGCAATGGGAGTATTTTAAACAAAACTGTTGAAAGGAAACATTTGCAATTTAATGGAGTTGACTTTAGAACATGCTATTCTGTCTTTCACCTTAATTTCTCACATAGTCTGTTTTGGGCATATTGAAAGAAAATGAAGTGAATATTTAGATAGACACTTTTTTTTCCATATAGCGCTGCTATTTTTATTCTAAGTGTGTTCACCTCTGATCTGAGGCCAGATACGCTTCTGAATCACTACTTTCTTAGGTGAGAGCTGTCCTGGAGTTGGGAGGTGGAAGCTTCAGAAAATCCAGTGTGGATCAGTGACAAAGTCCTGCCAATTGGGTAGACACTGGCATCTCAGCTAATTACAATTAAATGGCAAAGTGGGAGACAGTGGGATAAGTCATATTGTACCTTTTATCCTATAAGATCCCAAGGTATTTTTGCTTACTTTTATGTGTATGGATCAACCACCTTTAAAATGCATCTGTCTTTGGGATGGAACACGGCTACTCTTCAACAGTGCACAGCAACACTGTTTAAGAGAGAAGAATATCTTGTCCAAATAAATTTATGTATGAAGATATATTAAAGGAAGAACTAAAGACAAACTTCAAACTTAGGTGTCTAAATATGGGTTTAGGTGCCTAATTTAGAAGCCAAAGTTAGAAAAATATTGATCTAATTTAGTGTACATTTTCAAATCCAAATTTATATAGAGTCCTTGGAAACATTTTCCAAAAGCTTTGGTTTGATATGGCTTCACGTTAGTGGCAGTAAAGACTAGATACGACATATTACAGCAATAAGCATTCCCTTGATTGGTGCTCAGCTCCCAAGCTTTGTGTGGAATAGGGAGGAGGGCAGAGGCTGATCAGAGTGACCAGAGATGACCAGCATCACGGAAACAACAGAAGCTGAGCTTCCCACTCTGATTATAAAATCAAGGTCATGTCACACAGAGCAGTGCTGATGGCAGGGGCAGTAAGGCTGGTATGGGAAGGTGCCTGGAATCCTACCTCCTCGCCACCATGATTTTGCTCAGTGTCTTAAATGGCAGTGTTATACGGTCATTGCTTCCTATATCAAGTGGCAGTAATTATTATTGACTGATTATTATATTTTATTTTTCAGTTTGAAGGCAACAGTTTACACCAGCTGGTGCTGAAGATCTGTAGAGGACATTTTGTCCCAGTGTCTCCCAAGTATTCATATGACCTGAGGATTTTAATTTCCCAGTTGTTTAAAATATCTCCAAGAGATCGACCATCTATCAATTCCATATTAAAGAAGCCCTTTTTGGAGAAGCGCATCACCAACTACTTGCCCCCTGAAGTAAGATTCTTAGGCTGCTGACTGCACTTTGACACATCCTTTTTTCTTTTTTTTTTTAATTAGGCAACAAGTCTGGTTGATAACAGTAATAGGGTTGACATGATATACTTCTATTTCTGCAAGGCATTTGACTTAGTACTACATAACATCTTGATTAAAAGACTAGACAGATATAAAATGTACATAAAACACATTAAATGGATGAAAAGTAAGCTAACTGATAGGTTTCAAAATGTAAATAGAGAATCATCATCAGATGGGTATTTCCAGTGGGGTGAATCTCGCAGGGATCGGATCCTTGGCCTATGCTGTTTAACATTTTTATTAATGACCTGGAAGAAAACACAGAATTATCACTGATAAAGTTTGCAGATGACCCAAAAATTGGAGGGTGAGGTTAAAAAAGCAGAAGACTGATGCTGAGCAACCTGGATTACATTATAAGCTAGGCACAAACAAACAATATGCATTTCAAAATGTATAAATGTGGGAACAATGAAATAGCCTGCACTTGCACCATGGGAAACTATTGTGGGAAGAAAGACCCTAAAAAAGATTTGGGGGTTGTGGTGGATAATCCCCTAAATACTGAGCTCCCACCGTGAGAACCACAAGGTCTAACGCAGTGGTTCTCAAACTGTAGCAACTTGAGGACCCCCATTTTGACATTCAAATTTTCAACGGCTTCCAAGCCTTCCCTTTTCAGCCCCAGGCCCTGTCCCTTTCCTCCCAAGTCCTGCCCCACCTCTCTATGTCCCTGCTTCACCTCACCTTGCATTCACTGGTAGGCCCTCCCAATCAGTACTTTCCCCTCCCTCCCAGCACCTGCTGCACTCTGGGAAACAGCTGTTCTGCAATGTGCAGGCAGCACTAAGAGGGAAGAGGAGGAGTTGATCAGCAGGACCAGCCCCAGACATGCTTTCATCCCCATCTCTGAGCTCGTCCCATCCCTACTCCTACTCCTCCCTCTGCCTGTCCCCGGTGTGCAGGAGGCACTAGGAGGAAGGTTGATGAGTTGAGGGAGGGAGGAAGAGTTCATCAGTGGGGCCGGTAGACCTTCTAAAGGAGGGCTACTCAACTTTGGAAGCTATGGGGGCCACAATGCCACTCACATCACGTGCTGAGGGCCGCAACTTAAGTGTGGTTGCATATTCTTGCGAATATATATGCAAATAGCTTCTTTCACACTGACAGGCATGAATACAAAAATTAATGTAAGACTACACCACACACAGACCCCATTTAGAGACTACACAACACACAGACCCCATTTAGGTCATTTCAGCTGATATTAATAAAATGCAGTATTTACCTAATTTCCACCCATAGGACAGCACTTGATCTCACAAAAGATTATGCCCTAATACATGGGCTGCAAATAAACGGGCCATGGGCCGCATGTGGCCCGCGGGCTGCGTGTTGAAAAGTCCTGCTCTAAAGTATCATTGTTCACAGACCACTGTTTGAGAAATTCTGGTCTAGTGGAATCCTTGAATGTATAAACAGAGGAATCTTGAGTTAAGCTGTTATTTTACCCCTGTATTTGCCATGGTGTGACCTTTAATGGACTACTGTGTCCAGTTCTGGTGCCCACAATTCAAGGATGTTAATTGGAGAGGTTTCAGAGAAGAGCACAAGAATGATCAAAGGACTAGAAAATATGCCACGAGTCTAGATGTTAATTGGAGAGGTTTCAGAGAAGAGCACAAGAATGACCAAAGGACTAGCAAATATGCCACATGAGTCTATTTTACTTACAAAGAGAGAGTAAAGGGACGACTTGATTGCAGTCTATAAATACCTACATAGGAAACAAATATTTAATTATGGTAATGGGTTCTTCAGTCTAACAGAGAAAGGTACAGCATGAGTCAGTGGCCGGACATTGATGAAACTAGAAAAATTTTGATAGGAAGTAAGGTGTACATTTGTTAACAGCAGTGTCATTAGCCATTGGAACAACTTACACAGAGTCATAGTGATAGAAATGTAGCCAGCTCATCATCTAATAAACCATCTTGTTAGTCTTTAAAGTGCTACATAGTCCTGTATTTTGCTTCAGAGTCATAGTGGATTCTCCATCACTGACAATTTTTAAATTGTGTGTTTTTCAAAAAGATCTGCTCTAGAATTTATTCTGGGGAAGTTCTATGGCCTGTGTTATACAAACAATTAGACTAGGTGATCACAAATGGTACCTTCTGGCCTTGAAGTCTATAAATCTATTAAACAAGATGCAGTACAGACAGTTGAAACAGATACTTTTTGCTTATAGGTAATACAGGAAGAATTCAGCCACTCTGTTATAGACGAAATAAGACCTTCAGCAGCACATCCTGTAGCCAAGCTGGTGCAGGGTAAGTCTTGTTTTATGACAGAATAATAATACATATGTTATTAATTAACATGAGCTCTAAACTAATCTTAATGCTATATAGAAATCAAAATGCATTGTAATTAACAGATGGACTTACCTTTTCAGCATTTTTTAATGTGATTTGCACTAGGGATGTAAATAAACATTAAAACAGGTAATTCTAAACTAATCTTAATGCTATATAGAAATCAAGATGCATTGTAATTAACGGATGGACTTACCTTTTCAGCAGCTTTTAATGTGATTTGCACTAGGGATGTAAATAACCATTAAAACAGGTAACTTATTAAAATTATTCTTGTTAACCGGTTAACTATTCTTGGGCTGGCGAATGGCAGCTAGGGCCAGAGTCCTGCCTGCCTACCTGGGCCATTCTGGCACGGCCTCAAGAAAATTGACACCCACAAGAAAAGTCAACAATAATTTCAAAAACCAAACATATGTGCATTTAATACTTCAAAGATTCTTCTTAGAATAGCTGAACACATACTCTTTTTGCTGTAACTCTTGTTCTTCCTCAGTTCATCTATTGTTATGTCTGTTGGCAGATTTTAAGTTTATCTAGGAAGGGTCATTGTGGTGTTATGCATTGTTCAAAGCACTGATCACACTTCTGTGTATTGTAAAAATGAATAATCATCTCGTGTACTTGTGGCACAAATGCAGTTTAAATCAGAGCTGACATTCATAGACATTTCAGTCTATGTAACATGACAGTACACTGTATTATTTTGTCAGCAGACAGCATTTTTCAAAATAAAATAAATTAGATCAAAATGTGAAAGACAGCAATGTTAAATTTGTAATTGACACCCTCTTATAAGCCTGTAAATTAGATCAAAATGTGAAAGACAGCAATGTTGAATTTGTAATTGACACCCTTTTATAAGTCTAGTATATATAGCCAATCTAAAAAGCATAGATTATGGCTGGCTGACATCTGTATCGGAACTGCTAAATACCTGCTGTATATGATGATCACTCAATTTTGCTCTAATTTTGTGTTCTTCATTATATCACAAATACTTCACAATGTTACTTATGGAAGAACAGATGTGGCATGCAGTGGGATTTACCAAAGTGCCTAATCAGGGTAGGGGCATAACTTGATTCAAATTTGGCCTTTGGCCTCATCACTCCTAGGTTATAGTCTTGAGTCTAGCACTGAATCCCTTTGTAACCTTGAACAAATCTCTCTGTGCTTTAGTTTACCTATCTGAAAAATGAGCGAAAGGATACCTACCTTACAGGAGTGCTCTGAATCTTAATTAATGCTTTCTGAAAGCTTTGTACTCCTTGGGTGAAAAGCAAGAGGTGAGGTGTAAAGTATTATTAATAGTATTAATGTGAAATATTTATTAGACTATCCAGTGCATGTTAGACATATGCTCATTTTGCAGTTTATAATTAGAATGTGATAAGAACAATGGGAATAATTACTATTACAGTTAAAAAATTCTTTTATTTTTTATTTATTAAATAAGTTCCTAAAGTTCAAAAAGTGAGAGTCCAAGACCATTGTTCTCCAAGATCAAGGATGTTGGAACCAGTCAAGAAACAGGAATTATTACATATTAAAGAATGGAAACCTCCTTCAAGAGTCCACCAACCTATTGTCCAGGTACTGTGCCTTCAAAATATACAGAGCTTTTCTCCTTTCTGAAATGTAGTCATATCAAGATAGAAGAAATCTGATTTTAAAAAGATTGTTTTGGGTTATTGGTAGGAGTTGTATTTGAAAGTATTTGGCAACGGAGGCAATCAAACTGAGTCTGTTCCTATTTGAAGGAGATAAGGCTTAATTCTGCTTTCAGCTATACTGGTATACATCCAGAGCAATTCAATGGACATAGTGAAGTTGTTCCAGGTTTACACTTATATAACTGACAGCAGAATTTGAAGCATGCTGTTTTTCTTATTTCGGCAAAGTTACAATACAATGTTAACATACTATGTAAGTATATCATACGGTATGTTACTTATCCAAGATCAGGTAACTGTTAAAAATGTGGCTAAATATTTGGCCTGCTGGTTGAGGAGCTATTCTCTTCTGAGTGTGCTAGAAAAAGTGACAAAGTTTAAAATACAGTATTTAGGCTTTTTTTTTGGCATTTCTCTTGCATACATATTTGTTGTGAAACTTTTTCCACTACAAGGATAATCCATTTTTACTATTTCACAATTCCATAGAATTGTCACATTTTTCCAATAAAGTTCAATACAAAGTCTAATTGTTAATAATAAAAAAGAAGATATATTTTAACCCCAAGAAATTATCTCCTTTACTGGAGCATTAGGTAAGCCCAACAAGAGATCTCCAGGAAGCCAGAATTTTGTCACGAGATTAATCTTTTTAATAACTTCTTCCCCAAACCATCTAATTCCTGGATACAAGTACCACATGTGAAAATATGTTTCCTTCTTCTTGCAGCCTCCCTATTAGCAAAAGTACAATGGAGGTGCTTCTACACTGCACGGCTTAACTCAAAATAAACTGCGCAAATTGAGCTATGTCAATTGCGTAGCTTATTTTGAAATTGAAATTGGGAGCATCTACACAGCACTTTTCCTCCGACTTCCCTTACTCCTCATACAATGAGGGTTACAGGAGTCAGAGTAAGAAGTCCTCTAGCTTGACAGTATTTTGATATTATTTCAAAATAACTGCCTGCTGTGTAGATGCGGACCAAGTCATTTTGGAATAGCACTAGTTTATTTCGAAATAGTGTTGCAGTGTAGATGTATACTCAGTCAAGTCAGTGACAATCTTTACAGTAGCAAACAGGAATGCAATAATTCTCCCATATTTAATCACCCAAAAGAACCAGAGATTGCCTCAAGGATGAGCAGAGTAACAAGGCTAGGAATCAGGCCCTTACACCTTTTTTTAGTGTAATAGTTGTAACGTTGTACCTTAATTAGGCAAACATATGCTAACGGTAGAAAGTATTTTTAACTTTTCTGCACAATCCTCCCTTGAGTTTAATAGGTGTGTAGGATGCTAAGACATGCTACACACAACATGCTAATGGGAGTGTGCCATTTGTAGATTGAGTACCCTTTTCCCCTGGAACAAAGTAGCCCCCACCCTTTCCTTTCTCCCAGGGGTGGGGAACCTTTTTTTGGTCAAGGGCCGCACACAAGTGAGAAGAAAAAAAAACCTAACGAAAATCCACACCCCTCATTGATGTGCCCCCCCCAATGAGAAGAAAGTCACTCTCAACATTCTCCACACATAGCAGAGCCTTGGAAAGCCCAGGCTAGTAGATTGTGTGTGTTCCAGCCCCACAGGGGCTGGAGCACCATTGCAGACTCCCCGATACTAGGGGGAGAGGGAGCCCTAAGCCTCAGTGGCCAGATCCAGGAAAGCTTGGGACTGAATCTGGCCCCAAGACATGAGGTTCCCCACCCCTGCCTGAAACCTATTCTAAATTGTCTACACAGCAGGAAGTTGAAGGAAGAACACTCTTCCTTCGACTTCTCTTACGTCGCATAAAATGAGGGTTACAGGAGTCGGAGTAAGAAGTGCTCCAGCGTGACATTATTTTGAAATAATGCTGCTGTGTAGATATACCTCTAGATATAATCTGGATAGTTAGTATGTATTACCAAATAGGGAGTGGGAATGGAACTTGCTTTAAAATGTGATTAGTGCAGAGGATAAAAACTAGCTTCCAGCTTATCATGTCTTGACTTAAGAATGATCATTCATTACCTTTTGAAATTTCATCCTTTACATATATTTTCAGCATTGGCGCTCCAGACTTAAGATGGAAGGAAGGCCAGACGCTGCCAGAGTATATGGACATTATGGTCATTATTATGATAAACTTGATAGCTTGCAGAAGAGACTTTATTTACAAGATGACCTTTCTCACTTCAATCAAAGAGTCAATGAGTATTATAAACAGAAAGGACAAGTTGCGCCTCCCCCACCAGAGTGGTAATCTTTTCCATCAATTTAAATACTGAAGAATCACCAGTACTTTGACTCCTCAACCTTTTTGATCATATAGCAGTGTTGAGATACAGAAGCAGAGTCACTCATTCTGTGTGATTCCTTTCTTGCTCATGCTTTTGATGTGGTTCTTATATTACATATAATTCAACAAGAAAAAATGAAATGTCCATTTCTATCTACCTGTTCAACTTAGAGATTCATTTTTGAATATATTTTCATGACATTTGAAACTGTTCATTGTAGAAACTTCTCCTAGATCTCAGTGCAGCTCTGGGTTCAAAGAAATAACACTACACTAATCTGTGCAGGTGCTCTGTAAGAGCCAAAGGCTGTCTTTCTCCTCTCTCCCACCACCCAACCTCAAGTGGTCAGAAAGCTCTAAAGACAGCAGGACCACTGTTGTTTTCCAGCCTAGAGATTGTGGTTAGGATAGGTCAAAGAGATATTTGCTCCCACAGAGCTTATGCTGTAGCCTCTTCTGTAAAGTTCCTTTCTGCTACAGGTTTATAAAATTCACAGCCTCTCTCATTCAGGCTGTGTCTAGACTACATCCCTTTTTCGATAAAGGGATGTAAATTAGGCACGTCGATATTGCAAATGAAGCGGGATTTGAATTTCCCGCGCTTCACTTGCATAATGGCGGCCACCGCTTTTTTCAAAATGGGGCTTTTTCGAAGAAAAGCGGCAGTTTAGATGGGGCATTTTCGACAGAAATGCCTCGTTTCGAAAGATCCTGTACTACTTGGATCTTTTTTTTTCCCCCCGAAAAAAGCAGCAGCCGCCATTATACAAGTAAAGTGCAGGAAATTCAAATCCTGGCTTCATTTGCAATGTCAACATGCCTAATTTACCGAAAAAGGGATGTAGTCTAGACGTAGCCTCAGACTCCACAATGGAAACCGTTCTCCTTTTTCTGAGAGTGCCTGTCCATTTGTCACAAATGGATGAGTTTAAGAAGATTTGCATAAGGTAGGCCAGGTTAGGGATGATCAGGCATGCCAGATTTAAATGTTGCCTTGTTTGGGAAGCTTCAGTTAAAGTAGATTGGGCTATAAGGTTTTGGTCAAAGAAGGCAAGGTTGGGGATGACTGAATGTAGGATACCCAGATTCAGCTGAATTCAGGATGTTAAGGCAAACTAAACTGAGGTTGATTCATTGAATGACAGTGGCATTCAGAAAGCATGATGTCAAATAACTGATGACCAAGGAACTTATAAGCAAATGCTGATTGTTTTGCAACTAAAAATATTCTATAAAAAACCCTGCTAATGCAAAGTGTGGGTGTTCTAGATAAGCACACAGAAATCAGGAAATGTTAGGACTGAACATCCAACTTTAACTCTTTGCTCCTGTGTGAGTGTTTTACAAAACTATTATTTCAATAACATATTAATATACTGTTTCTCAGGCTTCAGAAGCCTGATATAATTGATGGAATGGAGAGGGCAAGAGACAGAGGTCAAGTGAATATGTGGTTACTTCATTATTATTGTTCCATTAGTATATTCGTTTACATTTAACATAGTATAACTAGAGTTCAGGAAGTAACTTCTGGTAAACAAATAAAGGTGTGGGGTATGGCTGTGTGTATATGTAAGGAGCTTCCATACTAGTATAATTTTGCTGAAAGTTGTAGACAAAAACACCATTGTTGAACGTCACTGTGTTCTGTCAGGCCTGCAGAGTATCTTCAAAGACGGCTTGATGCCCAGCAGTACAAGATGAAAGTAGAAAAGCAGTTGGTAAGTAAATACTGAATTATAGATGTAACCACCTCTTTCCTCCCTGGGTTACTCGGGAGCAGGCCACACACGCTTGTGTGCCTGATGCTTTTAACATAAAAGGAGATCTTGAGTACCCCAGTGATGGTGTTGTATAATTTGGGATTCCCTGTCCACGCCCTTGCTGCAGTCCCTTGCTTTTAAAAGAATATACAGTTGTGGTGCCTCCAAGCTTCTGGCCCTGTACACATTTAATGGTGTGCCTTGGGAACCTCCAGGAATCAACTTATTCCAGTAATAATCTGGATCTAACTCCAAAACAACAATTATAAATAATATACATCTAATTGATTAAATTAACACACCTTTACTTAACTTAAAGAAACAGGGTTTAACAGATTAAAAGTGAATAAAATCAATTAACAAAATACACAAAAGTAAAGGAAACTTCTCTAACTGACATTTACACTGCCACCATTTACCCAACCCCAGACTGTGCACTCCTCTAGATTCACTTGCTTGCATTGGCGTGCTTGAAGGTCTGTAGCTGGAGTGGAGACAGCACTGTGGAGGTTCTGTGTTAGTTCAAGGTGAGCGGCTAGCAGAAAAATCCCTCTGCCAGTGGAACAGGCCCCACCAAATGCCAGCAGCTCTGGTTCACTGGGCAGATCACTCTGGCTCTTTGGACCCAGAGTCAGTTGTGTGCTCCGTCCCAGGCAGCACTTTCCCAAAGAGCCACAGTTACGTTCTGTGCAGGATTATGTAGGCCCTTCTCAGCCACAGGGGCAGTCACCAACAGCCCCTGAAGCTAGGGTTGCCAGGTGTCCGGGTTTTGAACTGGACAGTCCAGTATTTGAGCTTTCTGTTTGGGAAACAAATAGAGAAAATATAAATGCCTGGTATTTTCTAAATAAGATGTAATGTAGATTGTGATGTAATGTCAAGTGTGTCCAGTATTTTCGATGAAACCATCTGGCAACCCTACCTGAAGCAGCCTGTTAGATCCAAGCCCCAGCAGGCTATCAGCGGCAGGCTCTAGCTTCCAGCAGCAGCTCCTGGCCTGGAAAAAGGCTCCACACCAGCAGTCTGGCTCCTTTCCCTAAAATGGAGCCCATCAATCCTCTCTCTCGCTGCCTGGAAGAGAGCAAGAGTTTTTCCTCCTTTTTCCCAAGGGTTGGGAGTTGTAGTCTCTAGGGCTAGAGACCCCCACAAAGGATCATCCCAGTGAAAGTCAGAGGCTCCTAGAGTAAGGCTGTGTCCAGACTCAGGGGTTTTTTCGAAAAAAGTAACCTTTTTTCGAAAAAACTTCCCCTGCGTCCAGACTCAAGCCGCGTTCTTTCAAAATTAATTCGAAAGAACGCGGCTTTTCTTTCGATGGCGGTAAACCTCATTTCACGAGGAAGAACGCCTTCTTTCGAAAGTTCCTCTTTCGAAAGAAGGCGTTCTTCAATGTACATAGGGCTTCTTCAAAAGAGAGCATCCAGACTCACTGGATGCTTTCTTTCGAAAAAGCAAGCCGCTTTTTCGAAATTTCTCCGTGCAGTCTAGACGCTCTCTTTCGAAAGAGGCTCTTTCAAAAGATGCTTTTGAAAGAGCCTCTTTCGAAAGAAGCCTGCAGTCTAGACATAGCCTAAGGGGACTACATAGAATACAATCAATACAATGGAAATGAGTGAAAGCCTAGATGATGAACCTGTGCCTTTTTCACAGCAAAGTACAGCACTGATAAATAGGGAATCCTGCTGTAAAGTTTTTGTTGATTTTATTTGTCAGTCCCCGTAATACACGAGGTTCGAAGGGATGCCGGAAAGGATGAGACCACAACTGGGGGCTTTAAAAAGCACAAACTGATTTTATTTTGATGACGCCAGACAATCATCAGAACAAAAATTAAACAGATTGCCAGACAACACAAAACAATTCCCTGAGGCTTTTCTAAATCACAATAATTCCCAATAACTGCCCAGGGGTTAGGAACAGTTGAATTAACACTGGTATTGTCCATAGGGCTGATTATTTACACAACTTTATACAAGGAAACAGTAAAAACCCTAAACCACAACTATTTATAAACTAACTTAGTAACTTTTTAGCCACTGTCACTTGACAAGCAATAAGGACAACTAAAAAATCAATTAGGATAGGGATGATGGCGGGGGGAAGGGGTTATACCAGTTCTGGAGACAGCAGGAACACAAGTACCGGTCGCATGCTCATAAACTGTCTCCACTCGGGTCGACCAGCTCGGAGTACGCTCAGTAAGACTCGAGCGGGGGGTGCAAGGCGTCTGGGTGATCAGGCCAGGCGTTCACTCGATGCAAATCCCCAGTGAGAGAGAGGCTGCCTGCCTGTTTTATTGCCTTTATCACCCCATAGGTTGGTTTTTGCTGCAGTGGGTGGAGTAGCAGGCCTGAGCACAAGTCAGCCCATTGGCTGATCTTTCACTGCAATGGGTGGAGCGAGCAGGGGAAGATTATTAATTTACATGCCCTTATATGGAAAACACTCCACCTCACAGACAGAGCCCCCTATACCAGCCTTAGAGGTATTACAGGCTATGGCTCCCTGCGACGGGCAGCCATTGTTGTAGTTCTGACTCGGACATTATTCTGCAGTGTTCTTTTACTTTTTTCTACAACCCCCCCTCTCCCAACTTCTAATGTGAAGTACTGTTATGACTATTTCTCCCTGAAATATGTACTATACCTATGGCCCTTCTGATTGGTGTGTGGAGGGGGAACTCAGAAGATGAAATCTCTAAATGGAAACTCCTTTGCTCTGGAAATGATTTTTTACATATCACTAGGGACTGCGACCATCCTCTGCTGACCCACATCACAACCAGATCCAGCAGCAGGATGTGAAGGAAGAACAGTTCAAAGACTGTCAGTGGGATCTGGCTAGAAGGAATGATGAGATGAAAGAAGAGGTAAAAAATACATCCATCTTAGTTGGCCATGGCCATTTTATTATACTGATTGGCAATTGTACTTTCCATGTGAAAAGTAATATTCTTTCCCCTGTCCACAAGCAAAATATTATCTGGGTTCATGTGCAGGTTGTATTGCACTACCACCAGCTGGTTTAGTCCTGGGACAAGAAACTGATTTGAGTCACCATAAGAAAGAGCACAGTCCAGATTCTGATTTCACTTCCACTGAAGTCAATAGAATTGTATTATTATAAAAGCAGTGGGAAGAGAATGAGTTCCCATGTGTACAAACTAAAAGATGTAGTATTCTCTTATCTTTTTTTCCCCAGCGTCATCCTTCACTACCACATTTATAGATGCTGTTTGTGATATATTGTTATCCAGAGAAGTTACTTGTATTTTTTATATAAACTGTACTTGATCCTGTGATGCTTTTGTATGATTGATAAAACAGTAATCCTTACTTTTCATATAAAAACACAAATATTACATGCTATTGTATTTGATTTATTATAAAGTCATTTGTTAAATTGTATGTATCTGTTACACACAAAATTTACATTACAATAATATTAAAGTAGGATCAACATTATTATATTTCATTGTACATTCAGTCTGGATGTCCATGTATTATTTTCACTTAACCAGTGTTGTTTTTAAGGGAAACTACATGCACAAATATTCTAAACTTGGTGCTGTTTAACAGGAATACCTGCAACAACTACAGAAAATTAGACAACAGTACTACAGTGATGTAAAAGAACTAAGATGCAAAGCAGAAGCACTGCAGGTAACAACTCTCATATACACAGATCCAGAAGGGATCATTTAAAATCAATATCTAATGTATCCGGTAACTGAAACCAACATTTTGTAAATACACTCTTTAGGAGAATCCAAAAATAAGAGACAAAACCTATCTTATAAAAGAAGGAAAATCTGGAGGCCAGCCTGATCCAAAAGATACTCCTCGAAGAATAGAAGAACCAGTCCAGGTACCAACATTGTACAAATAGTTTGAACACATTACCACAAAATAACTAACATAAAGTAAGGTATTTATCTATTTCTGAGAAGTGGTAGAAGTCAAGGAACTAAGGAACACATGAAAAATAACTTAGAACGGATAGTCACTTTTTACTGCATGTGAGATTTTATATGCCTGACAGGCTGTCAATCTACCTTTCCTCTCTACTGCCTGGAGGAGGGAGGGGGGGCAGTGGGAACGGGTAGATCCGCAGGTGACAGGCTGCTGCTGAAACTCACAAGAGATCACTTTTACCAGTAGACCGATAGTCCAGGATCAAAAGATCCAG